CCAAAGGAACGGATTGTTCCTCTTTGTGTTAAAACTTTTAAGGCTAAATAATCATAACCAGCATTCGTCAAACGATAACCGTCATCTAAAAATTTATTATGTTTCAGATATATTTTTAATAAATTTATGATCACATATAAATTTCAATGCCTTACATCGTTTGCCTCGTTCATAACTGAGCAATTTATGCTTGCACATTTCTTTTAATAATTTATGAACTCCACCGTAACGTAGATTTGCTATTTGTGTGGCAAGTAGTGCAGGTACGAGTTCATGATTTTTCATACCCATTTCAATCTAAAATATGAAAAATTAAAATTATTACAATTAGAAAAAAGAAAAATAAAGACATATATAGATATATAGATATACAGATCCTATAAAAATTTATTTTTTAATAATCATACATATATTTTTATACGAATATACAAGCAAATACAAAAATTCATACCGCTGTCAGAACACGAAAATCTTCCGGAGTTAAATATCGTAATATTTTAACGTCCAATTTTCCCATATTAGATAACTGTATGGAGGATTTATATAACGCAAATACGGTTTTTTTCTTAAAATATCAAACTTTTTAACTTATTTCTATCTTCATCGGATCTGAATTGGTATACACGTGTAATCTTTAACCTAAAATTACCAGTACTACCATATGCTTAGTTGTTCAATAACATTTTCCACTGAAAAAACTGATGCAACACCAGCGCTGTACTAGATTTTATCTGATTGGTATATTCTATTAGATCCTAAAATATAAATTGGCTGCGTTCAGCAGAACGTTTATTTTACAACTGTTGGAAGTTTTCTTCGCACTAATTGAGTTATGCTTTTAGATCAAAAGGAATGATTCTATCTCAGCAGAGAATCATAAAACGATTGCAAAACTATTGTGTTCTGGTGAACGAAACCAACCAAATGAAAAAAGAACATTCAATGAGCGGTTGCGTATGGTGGAATAATTCCACCAGAGAGAAACCTGAGAGAGGTTGCCAGTTTTTTCCTGTTATCACCGAAATCATCCGTACATTACCGCCAGTACATCCATTTTCAATTTGAGAACTACGTGATTACATACATTTTCTGACACTATCGATAAAATTGTATCGTCGAAACTAGATGTGATTCGTCTTTGTACTAATCCTCAAGACAGAAGCGTGTCAACTATCCCTCCTATGAACACGTATGCCTTCCAAGCGAGTGCACACAGTGCGACACACAGTGATCACGTCATCTTTGTTTAACATTGACAAACAACAAGGATGTAACGATTCATTGTGCACACCGTATCATTTGTGTCGCTTGTTGGAAGGCATACATTTACTTCCGACGATACAATTTTATCGATAGTGTCAGAAAATGTAGTCACGTAGTTCTCAAACTAAAAATGGATGTACTGGCAGTAGTGTATGGGTGATTTCGACGATAACAGGAAGAAGATCGGCAATGACCTCTCTTAAGTTTCTCTCTGATTCCATCATGGATGTACCCAATTGATCAGCTTTCTCTGCTGAACGCAAAATTCATGTCTGTTCATAATGACGCATAATGACGTAGCGGCAATGTCAGCATTGTAAGCAACAATATAAAGCCGGCCATTGAAAAAACAGACTGTTTGAAGTGATGCAGTTTATTTCTCAGTAGTTTGTTTCGTCAATAACTATGAATTTTCAAAAAATTTTACATTTCTTTTATGTTATTTATCTCAATATAATTTATTGCTATTACAAATTTACAATGGTGGATTATAATAAGAAGGAAGATGATAAAACAACGACGCTGATAGGATCGGCCTGTAAACAGACTACAAAGTGCTCAAGCTTATGCTTTTGTCATAACTTTCTTCAAGAATTACTCCAGAGTGACCATGAAAAGTTTTTTGGAGCATACAGAATGTGGCCTGAGCAGTTCGATTTACTAGTAAATTTGCTTCATCCTCATTTTAAGAAGAACATCTTAAAACCTTCTCTTCCTACAGAGCTACGTCTAGCTGTCACTTTGTTGTAAATAAAATTAATGTACTTTAATTTTATTTCACCATTTTCTTTGAAATAATCTTATCATGATTATTGCAGATACTTATCCCAGGGTGATAACGCTAAGTTAAAACACGCAGAATTTGGGATAGACAAGTCAACTGTTCATAAAATAGTGAATGAAACTTGTTGGACGATTTGGACAACTTTACAACCAATTGTTTTAAAACCTCCTAGTAAAGAGGATTGGATAGCCATCAGTGAAGATTTCATGAAAAAGTGGCAATTTCCAAATTGTCTAGGAGCATTAGATGGACGTTATATGACAATTCAAGCTCCACCCAATTCTGGATCAGCATTCTATAATTACAAACAATGGCTGCGTTCAGCAGAAAAACCGTGAGTACTCAATGATTTTTTAATTATTGCCTTTAATTCTTCAATGAATCTAAGTGCAGGAATCAATAATATTAAAGAATCATTGAGCAGTTATTGATTAACTTTTTTTATTGCAGCCAATTTTTCAATATGATATTACTTGCCGTTTGCGATGCAACATATAAATTTACATGGGTCAATATTGAGCAACGTGGTGAGTATATTTATTTATCCTTTAATTTTATTATCTGTAATTATCACGATCCATTTCCAGGTTCTATAAGTGATGATAGAGTATGGGCAAATACTAAACTTGCAAGTTCTGTGGCTGCAGGTGATTTACTCTTACCAGATCCTATTCTACTTCCAGGGACAAATACTCCTTTTCCCTTTATTTTTGTTGGTGATGAAGCTTTCCCTCTATCGACGCATATGATGCGACCCTATCCTCGCGAAAAGCTGACTGATGATATGAGGATCTTTAATTATCGCTTATCACGTGTACGACGCACAATAGAGAATGCTTTTGGAATTTTGACTGCGCGATGGCGTATCTTGCACAAACCTCTTTATATGTCAATAACCAACTGCGAAAATGTGTTGAAAGCCCTCGTCTGTCTACACAATTTTATTATGCTTGGAGAAGAACATGAGTCTATAAACAATCGTCAGTATTGTACAACAGATTTAATTGATATCGAGAAACAAGATGGTGGGATTAGGGAAGGACAATGGAGGCAGCACTTTTCCCCACATTTTATTGAACTAGGCCGAATGGATGCTAACCATTCTATAGCGGATGCAGATTCCATAGCAAAGGAAATGAGAAATACTCTTAAGGAATACTTTATCTCTTCAACTGATAAAACTCAAGCTCTATGGCAATACTAATATACATTCAAAGGAGCTATTATCAATTCTCCTAAGTGATATAATTTCTAAGTTTACAAAATTGTAACTCTGACAAATAATTACTCTGCGTTTTTATATTGTTTAGTCAATTAGTATTTTTCTTGTATTTTATTATACATATACATCTTTATTTTTACTTTTTTATTATAATAACTTAAAATTTATTTTAATCCTAATCTGTGAATTTTATTTTTTTATATTGATTCGTTATTGATGTTACTTTTATAATATTTTGATTGTTGTTCTTTATACATTTATAATTTTTTCTGCGATTCTGTTTACGATATCAATGATGAGTTACTTTCATTTTTAAATTTTAAAATACAGTTTACGACTTATAGACTGATTTATTTATCATTTATTTATTATTAATATGTAGTTAGTATAATTAATTAGTACAGACTTGATCTTCCAACTGTCTGTGAATAATGTATTTATAATTTTCTGGAAGTGACTCTCAATGGCCAAAGAATGACAAATTTATAACTCGGTATATCTCTTCTATACTGTTCCAAAGAAGGCATAAATATGAACCGCAACATGTATAAAATAAACATGTATAGTTTAATTAAATGTATTAAATTATTAATTATCTCTATGTATATCAATTCTCACGCTTGATTCCTTTTATTTTACTATTTTGATTATAAGAAAATCTTATTTTTTCTGATTTCTAAGTTTATTATACAGAAAGTGTCAAGACCATTAGGAACAATCTTTAAGGGATTGTAAATTTTATCTAAAGGAACAACTTTTATTAAGGAACTTGTGTTCTTTGAGCTTGTATGTCACATTCTATGCATTAAAAAATTGAGAATTGTAAACGAAAGATTATAATTCATACAGTCAGAACAGATTAAAATTAAAATTATCTGACTAGTCAAATTCTAATCTCTAGTTTGCAATCTAGACTTCGTTACATCACACGTAACTGCCTATTAAAACCCGATGTTCACAATGTTAGAAATCGATCCAAGATCTCGGACAGAGAAAAAATTAACAAATCACATTTAAACAATTTGATCACATGACCATTGCGATTGATCAATTCTTTCTTCATCCGAGGTCGGACCGATTTCTAGCATCGTGGACACAAGGCTTAATAAGTCCAGATCTATAATAGGCATTTTAAGCTTTAAGTCGTAAGAAATTGATCAACTCCAGTCGAATGCGAGAAGAATAATTGATTGTGATTCATCCATTCCTTATGGCTTAAGGTTTAAAAATCTATTGTAGATTCGGATTAACTGGTTAAGTAATTCAAAATGCTTGTAAGAAGAGACTCTCTTTCGTACTTCTAGGACGTATTATATCCCGTTTATAAATAAATTATAATTTTTGAACAAATAATCTTATTGACTTTTACTTTGACTTGTTTCAAAGAAGAAGGTTCAAATCTGATACTAACGAGAATCTGCGAATAATTTATCGCGAAAAATATTTATTCATAAAATGAACCAATCAAAATCCTTCCTTTCCATAAAATAAAAGACTCTGATTGGTTGATTTTCTTATGTTTCATACATTTATATGTATGATTGTGCAATGATTTGTACTTCAGCTTTAACGCTGTATGTAAATGCTTCATTAATCAATCAGAAAGAAGAATTTTATGAATTGACCAATCAAAGCATATTTCAAAACGTTTGCGGCATGAAGTAGATAGCACACCGAGTTGTCGACTCGACAGAAGTTGCTGACGCTCGAAAGAGTCGATTGGCCGACCATCGTTTCTCGGGGTTCGACATTACTCGATGACTCGACGGCAGTGAAGGGAAAAAAAAAACCCAAACACAAATCGGTGCGTTGAACTCTCGTGCGTAATGTTGAGCTGTTGCGAGTTCCTACAAGCAGTGTGATAGTTGTGTGTAATGCATATGCGTGCGTGTGTCAGACAGTGCATGCCAAAATTATGAAAACGCGTTCATGCGCCGCCGATGTAATGAAGTGCTGAATCTACCCAATTCGGCCGTTCTCGTAGGCAATGGGCAGAGCCGGCGTGTTCGCGATTATTACGTACGTCTGAAAATTCAACCATCTCAGGTCCCGGCACGCAGGTACGTCAACCGGAGTCAATCGGAATGCGGTGGATGCCAAAGAGCAGTTTTGTGTATAATTTTGCCTGATTCCACTTCATTCCACTTGATTCTCGACGTTCATGCCGCGCGGCACGTCGTTCCCCCGCATAATACACTACAAATTATTTACGAGACAGAGTGTGATATCAGCAAGGTTATACGAGTATATTGTGTTATATCGCCAATAACCGTCAGACGAGACGTACTCACTTATTTCCTCCCTCCCGTGACTTCCACCCGTCAAATTCTAGAGAATTTGCAGAATGTTGTGACGTTCGTTTGATCGTGCTAATACAGCGGTGATGTTCGGACTTTGCAATCGGTATTTTAAGTCATGATTAAGCGGAATATAATTTCCAAGCACGTCTGCATTTGCAAAAATTCGAGGCTGCTCGACACACTCGGTTCTCGTTATCGCAAGCGTCGGCTATCTGTTCAAGGGTCGCATTGTGAGTCATGTTGTGTGAACTAATTTTAATTTTGCAATTCTTCGAGTCACATATCTCTAGTGGCAATTCAGCCGATCATACGATCCGATGTATGTATGTATGTACGTGCGGCAATGTTGCGTGTGTATGTGCGTATGCATTAATGCGTGTTGTGTGACGATTGAAGGCCGGATTAATTTTGCTGCGAAGTTTGAAAATAATATTCTCGTTATTTATTGAACACGATTGGGTAATTTAGGTTAATGAGAACTGTCACTATTACGAAACGCGATCTCTGAAATTCCATAGCAGTCGCATAGCAAGTGTATATAAGTATATTTACATTTTATATAAAACGAGAAAATTATCATTCTTTCAGTTGTCTATCGTATATTATTTATGCTTTCCAGGGAATAACTTTCCTTAGGCTAAGACACGTGAAAACTAAACTTTTTGTATGTTGTGTGTTCATGTACATGCATATATACATAATTTTCACTTTTCACTTTTCCACTCTAGAGAAAAAGTTACATGATTGCTATTCAGCAAGAGATATAACACAGTGAATATTATATCCTTGTGGTTTATCAATATTAAACAGTTTTTTATTGAAAAAAAATAAGGAGTTGCTTTGGGATCAAGCTCATCCTGTCAATATATTATAATACATACTTGAACTTACATTGAAGCTGAATTATAATTAGTGATAAATGTAGAATAGATTTATAATAGTAAACGACATGGTATCATTTAAAATTAAAATTGGAATGGATTATTCTAAACTGAGATAAAAAATATTAACTTGAATCTATCTTAATTTATCAATATTCTGTATCAATATTCTATTCAATATATTGATATATTATTAAGATAGATTTTGCAGCTTAATATTTTTTTATATAGCCAGATAAACTTTTATTTTTTTACTTACTTTACTTTTTGGAGCTTTTATAACTTATATAATTCTATTATTCATCCTGTAGCTTAAAACTACTCCAAGAAATTTCATCATTATGTGTTAAACAAACAATGTTAAACAAAGATGAAGTGATTTATTGTGTCATCTGTGTATCTTGCTGGAAAGCACCAATGTTCTAAATTTCCTAGAATTAGCGATGTTACTTAATTATTAATTATTAAATATTTTTTTATAATTTGCAGGAATAATGTTGAACAGTATAACAAAACACATTTTGCACTGCTGTCTGCTGCTTGTAGTCATATTAGTATTTGAATTTGTATCTGGAGGCCTTCGATGGAATATGGAAAAGAAGGAAGAAATCGATCCATGGACAAGATATGGCATTATCGGTGCAATTACTTTGTACCTGTTACGCACAGTGACGTTTCTTTCCTTGCCACAAGTGTTATTCAATTTTATAGGATTAACAATATACAATGCATTCCCTGATAAAGTAATTTTGAAAGGCTCACCTCTGCTTGCACCATTTATCTGTATAAGAATAGTAACTCGCGGGGATTATCCACAATTAGTAAAGACGAATGTGAAGAGAAATTTAGATAAATGCATAGAGGCTGGTCTCGAAAACTTCCAAATAGAAGTAGTGAGTGATAAGCCAATAGGATTAACGCCGCATCGCAGGGTGCGAGAAGTTGTCGTCCCACCGAAATATCGCACAAGTAGTGGTGCCTTATTTAAAGCTCGTGCTTTGCAATACTGCCTCGAAAGCTCGGTAAATGAATTGGCTGATCACGATTGGATTGTTCATCTTGATGAAGAGACTTTGATGACTGAAAATTCTGTTCGCGGCATATTGAACTTTGTACTGGATGGCAAACACCAATTTGGTCAAGGGTTGATCACGTATGCTAATGAGGATGTTGTTAATTGGATTACGACCTTGGCCGATAGCTTCAGAGTAGCAGATGATATGGGAAAGCTAAGATTACAGTTCACCATGTTTCACAAGCCATTTTTTAGCATGAAAGGATCTTATGTTATCACACAGGTAATTACTAATAATTTCTAATCATTACAAATTTATAAATTGTAGAAGATGGTACATCATCTTTTTTACACACACACACACACACACACACACACACGCGCGCGCGCGCGCGCGCGCGCGCGCGTTGCTTTTAATTATATATAATAAAAATGCATATATATATATATATATATATATCATCACTTAACATATTAAAATAGTGACATATTTACAAATACGTCTATTTTGTGTTTTATTTTTATATTAGGTTAGGTTTTTCTATGAATATGTATTTCAGATGGGAGCAGAAAAACACGTTTCGTTTAATAATGGATTAGATGGATCCGTTGCAGAAGATTGTTTCTTTGCAATGAAGGCATTTTCTCAGGGATATACGTTCAATTTTGTGGATGGCGAAATGTGGGAAAAATCGCCGTTTTCTCTGTGGGATTTTGTACAGCAGAGAAAAAGATGGCTGCAAGGTATATTACTTGTTGTGCATTCCAAAGCGATTCCATTGAGAAAGAAATTGTTGCTGGGTATTTCGTGTTACTCATGGGTAACGATGCCTCTTTCCACTTCTAACATTGTTTTGGCTGGATTGTGTCCGATCACTTGTCCGCCGTTGATCGACTTTCTTTGCGCGTTTATCGGTGCAGTAAATATCTATATGTATGTGTTTGGAGTAGTTAAATCGTTCTCCTTATATCGTTTCGGTGTTGCCCGATTTATGCTGTGTATATGCGGTGCATTATCCACTATTCCATTCAATATAATAATTGAGAATGTTGCCGTGATATGGGGTTTGTTTGGTAAGAAACACAAGTTCTATGTCGTTAACAAGGAGCACAGGCCGCCATTAACCGTATGATGCGTCATCAGTTTAGAACTATTATCTAACTGGTATATACTTAGCAACAGAGTAATGTTTCCATTGTGCACGTGCATAATTAGTACCTGTAAATTTACATAGGAAACTATCACTGTCATAAATAAAATATTTATAACTAGTATTACATGAGAATTACAAGATTCCTAAGACAGATTGATTAATCAATTTCAAAACAAGCATAAATAAAATGTGTAATGTATACAGCAATAGGTAGATGCAGTATTAGAAACGTATTTTACATTGGCATTAAAACATTGCCAATTTTGTTGAAAGTATTAATATGTCAAAAATATATTTATGTCAATATCATATTCTCATAGTGCAAATTATACAGGTCATATACTTTGATCTCATAAATGTCGTGTGAATGAGTAGCATTCGTTAAGTTACATACATATCATTTTACATGTTCCTTTGCATGCATCCATTTTCTTATCGTATTCAGATATATTTTATTTTTGCCATATCATAATTTCTTTTTAATATTCACTTAATATTTCACGAAATCTTACATTACTGTATACAATAATTTTATATTAATAACGATGTCCGAAATGTTTACTTCAAACATTTTCTATTTTTTAAAAATAGTAATAAGTTATTTAAATGCATAATTCGGGAAACTGTGATAAATTTTGCTTTTCTATAAAAAATTAAAATTTTTCATTATAAATTTGATACAAAAACATTTAAAAAATGATGTCTAAAGCGAGTCGCAAAATATTTCATTATCTTGATATCGAAGTATACAATATACAATAATTTTGTTATTTTGAATACTTTTAATTAATGACAAAGCATAACAGTATATTTATATCATCGATATAAATATATATTGTACTTAATAAGATTAATTGTTTTACAAGATGATATGAAAATCCTTAAAAAATATAACAACATGTATTACATGTTACAGTTCAACAACAACATGTATTACAATTCTTGATAAAATAGAAAAATTATTTCCTATAATTAACTTAATATTTTTTAAAGATTCTGGAAATATTGTGGGAAAGATATAAATTTTAATGGAAAGACAAATATAAAAATCCAAATTAATTTTGTGATATCTATTAAATTAAATATTAATTATTAAATTGCCATATTCTTAAAATTTAATAATCATAAGGCGATATTCAAAATTGTTCTTATATTTAAAATCTTATATTTAAAATTAAGAAATTTTAAAATATCACCCATTACAAGATCGTATTAACATCTTAGGACATTACATAAAACGATTAAAATAATAACGGATTATGAATATCGGTTCTTAATAGAAAATGTGAATCCAATGTTAAATTTTTTAAATAATGTTTTGTTATGCATAAAGTTTTACTTCTTGTGCAAATAAAAGGAATTACATGTGAAAAGATACACACACACACACACACACACACACACACACACACACCAAAATATTATAGCAAATAAATTCTAAAAAAAAATTAATTATATTTACTATTTTTAAAAATAGCTGGTCTGTCCATGAGTCGCGCATCGACAATGTTAGTGATCGCGCGTGATGACTCACGGATAGCCGTTTCTATAATCGTAATTTGTAATTAGTCAGTTTTAAACTTTCTATTTTTAGGACTACGACTCGGAATGAAAAAATATTCTTTAACTTATTTTTTTCTATCTAACTTTCTTGCTATAGTATTTTGATTCGCGAATTTTAAAACACTCTCTATGTACATAATATAATCATTTTGTTACAATTATATGTACATGTCTATGAAACATTTTGTATCACATTTATATTAATTCATCTTTTAAATAATTTTTTAAATGGCTTTTTAACTTACTTAATTTACTAAACAAATTAAAGCTTCCTAAAGTTTTGTATGTTAATATAAATCATATAATGTTCATTTTTCAGAACTCTATAAATATATATTTTACGATTTTTAATACAAAAATAGATTGTTTTAAGAATAACAAAGCAATACATTTAGTAAGACTTATAATATCTAGTCAAGAAAATGTAAAGCACGTGAAATTTCCATCATAATGCATGTATAAATTAAAATAAATTTTTATTAGCACTATTTAGTGCGGTGAGATATTATTTTTAAATATTGTGTTCAAATAAAAAAAGAATGATGCTTCTGCAGATATTTTAAAAAGGTTTTTCACTTTTTACTAATTACATTTTAATGAAATTTTACACACTTGTATAGATCAGAATATTAGTTGATTAATGCAATTTAAAATTCTTATGTTCGATACTTAGAAATGTGTTTATGCTAATGTATTAACATTGTAATATTGATATTATGAACAGGGCCGTCGCTAACGTATAAAGCGCCTTTGTGCAAAGGGAATTTTGCGGTTTCTCTTAATATTTTTATTTATCAATTTTTTAAATAAGTTTTTTTCTTTAAATAACTTTATATTTATAATATTTTTAGAAAAAATGCAATTTTTTTATATTTTTGTTCTAAGATATTGTAAGATATTATTTTTTAGAGCGGAATTATAAAAATGAAAGTTATTGTTTAAAGTTCATAGAGTTAAAGTTCAATTTTTCATTTTTCACGTTTTCACCCTAGGGAAAATATTACAATCAAATGTTACAATGATCAATATCAATAGTGAATTAAAATGAATCTGTACTGAAAGATTTTAATAGTGTTGCGATTTTATAATAGCGATTTTAAAAGAAATTAAATCTGACAGAAGTGAGCATATGCAATTGCAGTTACAGGAATAAAGAATTGATTTTTTTTAAATTTAATTTAACACTCCTCCCTCTTATAAATGCGCATTTGTGCACTTTTTTGCGACGCCCTAATTGCAAAGATTTACAACTTATATAATAATATTATGTATGGCACATTCTCCATGTAATTATCTTTTATTATAAAGTAGTAACTACTATTACATATAATATTGTATAATCATAGATTCATGTATTACATTACGCTATGTAGGTTGTAAGATATTCGCATATATGAAGTGTTTTTAAGTATTTTATTTTGTTGTGTCAGTGAATAATGAAGTCGCACACTAGTCTCGTATCTCAGCCATTTATTTCATTATTCTAACAGCGATATCAGTTTATAAATTGAAAATAATAAATATTAATGTACACTAAAGTATAAAATTTATATCAATTCAAGAAATAAATATCAGGATTTTTCAAACTCGATGGATTGGATGAATCTATTCTTTTTTTATTCTTAAATATTATTTCGAAAGACCATGACAAATAAATAAAAGGAATTTGCAAATTTGTAAAATAGTTTTAAAGTTGGTTAAAAATGTTTAACTTATATTTCATCTTGGTGTAAAAAAATTCATATCTATCATCATCATGCAATTATGAGTTTGAAAATTTCTGAATCACGTCTGAATTAAGTGTGGATTAAATTGAATGAAGCAACAATATGTCTTTTTTGTTATGCGAAGAATAATAAGAACAATTTGTATCACGTAAACAACAGTATAATTGTATTTAGTATTATTCTATGTAATCTTATGTAATTATTATCATTTATGTAAACTGTCAATTTGTCTTTTATCAGATACAATTTTATTTTTGTCACACATATACATACATGTAATAATTAATCAATGCATCTTAAGAGACCAGTGATTAAACCAGTGATTGAATTATGTTACATAAAATTTTTCATATCATGTAGCGTACTATATTAGACAAAGAAATTTGCAGTTATCAAAATCATAATCATTATGAAATTCTGAATTGTTATGATAATTGCAATTGATGTAATAAGAATAATATTAAGAATCTTGAATGACATATGATATTAAAAAAATAAAAAAGAAAATTTGAAGTAAAAATTACTTCACAATAAATATCTATCTTTTTCATTCTCAAATTTATAAAACTCCATTTGTAATCTTCCTCGTTATCCCGTCTAATATTTGGTATCTTAAATTCTCGATCTAAATCTTTTTTTCTTTCTTATTTTTTATTTCTTATAACTATTCTTACAACAATTTGTATTCAATGAAGCAACGTACTTCAAGAATAGTGATTTAAACAAACACATGGCGTATTTATACAAACAATGTTTGATATATTTATTACTTAATTGTAATATCAACAAAAGTACAGAATAGTTTTATATAAAAGAATAATATTGAAAAATGAAATATTTTTCAATAATATTATTATAATATATTATTAACAATACAACAAAATGTTATCGCTTTTTATATACACATGATTTTAACGTAATTGCAGGAAGATTTTTTCTTTTCATGCTTATATCTTCGTTTTTTTTAAAATCCATAAAATAAAACAGGTTATGAGACAAGTCTTTCCATGTATTTTTAAAACCATAATGGCGTAGTAGTCTTATAAAATCTTTTACATCCTCGAATCTGCTCTCAACTTCGGCTATTTTCAAGATCCCACTAAATTGATTGAAATAAAAATAATTAATTCTTACTGCCATAAGCAGTATAAAAATAATTAATTCTTACTGCCTTACTGTCAATCAAGAATACCATTACTACTTACTTATTTTTAAGAACCCTGTTAGCTTCTATTATATAATCATTAAGATTAGATCCCATTAAAGAAAGACAAAACACGACAACGTGGATGCTGTTCATTAATAATGGAGTATGAGCCATATCACAAGCTTTCACTTCATCATTTAGAGCAATGAAATCAAATGAATGTACTGTATGAGGAACAGAAGCTGCGAGCCGGGCTTCACCACATCCAAAATCAGCGATTACATTGTCCGTTGGCCTGCAATTATAATTAAGGCATTATTAGACATTCACACTTGCATAAATTTCATTTAAGATTAAGAGATAAATACAATTTTTTAATTGATGATATTATAACATCCAGTGGATTTATCGGCCATTGTTCAATTTGCTGTTTATATCCTGCATGATAAGCCATAAAACTATCAGGGTCTTTTTGAAAATAATGTTTAGATTGTAAACTGTCATTATTGTACAATGTTTCATTTATAAATCTGAATCTGGATGCTTTTAACTGCATTTGCATTCTATCTCTCAAAGTAGGTTTTTTATCTCTTAGAGTAGATTGTGCAACTTTCGTTACTTGTGATTTATTTTCGAGCATTTTTTTTAAATATTTGATATTTATTTTATGTTTGTCCAGTTTTAATATATCAGATTGTATCTGCTGTGTTTCTACTTTAGTTGATATCTGTTTCATATTCTCTTCATTGTTCCCTTCAATTAATTTTCTCATCATAAACTTAAGATTTTTTATCTCCATTTGTAACTTTTTAACCTTTTCTTCTTTTTTTTTAATATTTTTGCTTCCATTATCTTCTGAAGAATCTTCATCGATTTCCACGTCTTCATAATTATCTCTCACAGTATCCTTATTTGTACGATTAAGATTCATGTCCTGTTTTCGTTTTTTATTTTTCTCATATTTTATTTTAATATTTGAATTATTTTGTATTTTTTGAGATACTTTTAATATTTTTTTCTTATCATCGTTTGAATATTTCGTTGAAGCATCTGAGTTTTCTGTATATTTTGCATCAAGTTTATTTTTAGAATCACGTTTTTTTCTTTTATTATTTTGCATATTTGCAAACATATCTTTTGCTATTCTATTAGATACACTTAATTTCTTTAAATTATATTTTTTCTTATCCTTTGGATATTTTGTCAGACCATCTGAGTTTTCTGTATATTTTATTGCATCAAGTTCATTTTTAGAATCACGTAGTTTTTTCTTTTTACTTTTTTGCATATTTGTAAATACATCCTTTGCTATCTCATTAGATGCACTTAGTTTCTTTATATTTTTATTATCCTTTGGATATTTAGTTAGAAAATCTGAATTTTCTGTATAGTTTGCGTTAAGTTTATTTTTAAAATCATGTGATTTTTTCCTTTTATTACTTTGCATATTTGTATCCTTGCCTATTGTGTTAGATATATTTAGTTTCTTTAAGTTATTTTCATTATTTTTTGGATATTTTGTTGAGGAAAAATTTTTTGCATCAAATTTATTCTTAGAACTATGCAATTTTTTCCTTTTATTATTTTGCGTATTTGTAAATATATTTTTTACTATTTCATTGGATGCACTTAGTTTCTTTAAATTATTTTTATCCATATTATTCAATAATTGTATATTAGTTTTCTTTTTTCTTCGATTTCGTTTCTAAAACAAAATTTAAAAAGGATCTTGTTTATATCATAAATTCAAAATATAAAGTAAAGGAACTAAAGACATTTGTTAAACATCACATTATGTTTAAGAAATTAACAAAAACTCGATTACTTTCACGATGGATATTTTCGTACTTGGTACAGCAGGCATTTGTACGTTCTGCAGAGTTTTTTTTAATTTTGCCATTATTTTATCAAGTTAAAAGAATCAAAATTGTTTATCGCAAACTATTCACTAAATACTAGAGAAAAGAACTACAACATGTGTTACTATTCTGTAGAAGTAGACGATTAAATGTCATCCGAGAGGCGAGAATACCGATCACTCTGATCAGAGTCAACTTGCCAACTGGTGTCATTATTAGACACTAGCATCCCTAAATTACCTAAATATAGAAGACATTATTATATATTATCTTCTCTACTATCGATAAAAGCTTTTATTAGAAATTCATATAATATAGCAATTAATAAATATTAATTTTAAAAAATAGTGAAATCTCCTTACATTATTTGTAAAGAATATAGCAAATCGACAATTTGAAAACTGTAAAAATAATAAAAAAATATTAATTGGAAAGTTATCTTATGATAGACGATAACTTACCAGTTATTTAATACATATAAATAGTTTTGGCCTTTAAGTTCAGAGGTGCTAGTGTTTAATTTTCAATATGGCGACATCCATATAATGGATCACGTTTTCGGTGCTCTCAATACAGTATCTATTCAAGAGAGCAGTCGTCCAAATATTTTTCTTCTTTTAAATACTGTCCTGGCCGAATCAGCTCTGATCCAAAGGGGCTATTTTATGCCGAAGAAGATCACACTTTAAATGTAACAATTTTTCGAGTAATGCAAACAGACAAGTATTGTATATCAGAACAAGTATCCTGTCTAACTATAGTTTCTTCGTGAAACTATTGGAATTAAGAATTCTCACAGTGTTCGTCGCCAAAATCTTGACAATTTACTGATCCATACGCCAGTGAATTATTGTGAATACAAGACCATGAATGCGAAAATGTGTAAAAAGGATGTTCTACAAGCCGTTATTCTTGCGGATGATTTCACAACAAGATTAAATCCAGTGCAAAATATATTTCCAAGCATTCTAATGCCCGTGATAAATATACCACTTCTCGATTACATGATAGAAACATTGATAAAGTCGAAGATACAAGAGGTATTCCTTTATTGCAGCAGTCACATAGATCAGCTAAAAAAATATACTGACGAAAGGATTTACAAAGACGTTACAATCTCTTTGATCATTTCCGATGGCTGCAGATCACTCGGAGATGCTTTGCGAGATATTGATACAAAAGGATGGATCAGAGGATATTTTATACTGATTCGTGGGAACACCTTTACCAATACAGATCTTAAAACTTTATTCAATATTCATCGTATGAAAGCCGAGAAGGATAAGGGAGCAACTATGACTATGGTATTACGGAACTTTGGTTCAATGAAAGATTCTTATCTCAATGAGGAAGCGTCTCTAGTTGTGTCAGACAAAAGCACTAATAAAATTCTGTATTACACTAAATTGAAGAATAGTGAGAAAAAAGTAAAGCTGGAATTAAATTGGTTTCTTGATCATAATGAAGTAGAAATTAATTCTTGTTACTTGGATACTCATATCTACTTGTGTTCACCATCTGTTTTGCCACTCTTTGCTGATAATTTTGACTTTCAAGTAAGTAAATTGCTTTTTGTTTAAAATATCAATAGAATTATCTTATAATATTAACATAATTATATTCAATTACGCAATAAAGAAACAAATATAATTTACTATTCTTATGTTTTTAGACTATGGATGATTTTATTCGCGGAGTATTGATGAATGAGGAGATTTTGGACTCAAGGATTTATTGGCAGCAATTAAATACAGAGGATTATGCTCTGCCAATTACCTCGTGGAAGGCTCATCATATACTCACTCAGGATGTTTTGCGTAGACATAGTTTTCCTCTTGCACCAGATGCTATGCCGTTATTGAAAAACTTTATATGTATGCCGCGGAGTACGTATAAACACGAAACTGCTACTTTTGCTAAAGGTTGTTTATTAGAAAAAGACTGTATTCTTGGATCTAATAGTTCATTAGGAAATAAAACTAAAGTTGCGAGATCTGTGATCGCAGACAATTGCATCATAGGTAGTAATGTTAATATAGATAATTCTTACGTTTTTTCAAACGTTAGAATTAAAGACAATTGCACTATTAAGAGTAGTATCTTATTTCCGAATTGTATTGTTAGATATCGTAGCCAAATAGATGGATGTATATTGTGTTCTGGAGTTGACATTGCTGCTCGCAGTCAATACGTTGATACCATTATCGAATCTACATCTTCTGGTATATCTGAGATCAAAATGTCGGATCTCGAGGCTGAGGATGGATTTTTGTACTTTAAAAATGCTGAAGTAATTGATTGTGACGACTGCTCCTCAGAATCGTCTAGTAACGAAGAAGTTCTGGAATGTGATTCTCAAATTCCAGACGACACGAATATGTTCTTATCCGAAGTTATCGATAGTCTGTTACGTGGTTATCAGGATAAGCTCAATTGCGAGAATTTAATTCTAGAAATCAACTCGTCGAGGTATGCGTACAATGTTACCATCCGCGAGGTGACGTATAATGTCATCAAAGCGATTCTCAGTCTGCCATTACACTATCTTTCCGAAACGAAGACTACCGTTACTAATCAGAATTATCAAAAGAATCTGAAAATTATGATAACTTATTTTAATACTATTATTCAGAATTATATTAAGAATGAAAACGCGCAAGAAGATTGTTTGCGTGCTATAGAAGATATTGTTAATACAACCGACGAGTTACTGCCGTACGCGCAACACCTGTTGCATCAATTTTACGATCGCGACATACTATCTGAAGAAAAGATTTTAGAATGGTATGAGTCTACTGACGAAAATTCGGACACGCATCATACAAAACTAAAGAATGCCGTTCAGCCATTCATTAAATGGTTGCGAGAAGCAGAAGAAGATTCTTCTGGGAGTGATAATTAATTTTTTCTATTAAAAAAAAAATTGTTACTTAAGATAAAAAAAGATTTTTAAATGTAAGAGAACATATATAGGAGTGTCTCCTCGTATAAGTAGCTATTAAATTAAACGGTTAAATTAAATGGATCATTTAGAAAAATTATCTGTATGCATTTTTATACAATAAAATAAATAATATTTCGATAAAAGTTGTAGCGTTTGTTCTAACGAATACAGCAATATACAGTATAACAAAATTTTTTTACAAATTATATAAATTATTATCAGTTTAAAGTTTGCAGGCGATTATTATTTTTTCAATTTTGGTCTTGTAATGCCAACTTATAGCTTCTACATTGATAATTGACTATATACATGATCAGATTATATGTAACACAATCAACATAGTCAATCACATAGATAATTTTTCTTAGTGTTCACAGTGTTTACAACAGAGTTAGAACTATTTAATTTAATATATTTATTGTGTTTGTATCTTTTAACAAGATAAAAAAAGAATTATTATTTAAAGCATAATTATATTTATATAAATGTAAG